CTAATAGAACTCTATGATTCACGGTATCAAATGCCTTACTAAGATCAACGAACAGTACTCCGCTCAAGAGACCAAGATCCATATTTTGAAACCAACYTTCAGTTGCCTGAAGGAGTGCCGTAAGGGTTGAATGGCAAGGTCTAAAGCCCGACTGAAATTTGCTCAGAATATTATTAGAAGAAAGATATGAATAAAGTTGATCAAAAATTATCTTTTCAAACACCTTGGCAATCACTGGCAGAACTGAAATTGGTCTATAGTTGTTAGGATCGTTTTTCTTATCTCCTTTATGAACAGGTGACACTTTAGCTCTTTTCCAATTTTCTGGAAAAATACCTGTTTCTAAACATTYGTTGAAAATAGCACAAAGGGGATAAGCAATAATTTGAGCTGTATCCTTTAATAGCCTAGCAGAAATATTATCCAGGCCAGTGGCTTTTGAAACAGCTAATTTTGATAGAAGTTTAACGATATAAGAAGGTTCAACATTTACAAGAACAAAACGTGAGGTTGCTTTAGTAACATAGGATGTAGGAGACACTTGTGCTGGTTTAATATCATCAGCAATTTTTGACGCAATTGTTGAAAAATGRTTATCGAAAGCTTCACTTATCGTATCTGGATCAGTATAAATAGACTGGTCTATTTTTAACTCTGAAATGCCAGTTATCTTTGATTTCCGGCCGAGTAATAAATTCAACGCTTTCCATGTACGTCTGCTATCACCTTCATTGTTGCTTATTTCATTTGTAACATACCGTTTCTTTGCTTTCCTAATGGCAACATTGACCTCATTTCTAGCAATTTTGTAGCTAGACCAAATGGCATCAGTTTTTAATTTAATATACTGTTTCTTAAGATAGTCCCTCCGATGCATTAACCCTCTTATATCGTGTGTTAGCCACGGACAGGGCCTGTTCTTTATTCTTCTTTTCCTAATAGGCAAGTGCTTATTAATGATGTCAAGAAAAGAGTTCTCCCAGAAATGTACCATCTCATTTGGACCATTTAMGTTGTCTATTAGAGTCCAATGAACATYTTTGAGATCCTCGACTATTAAATCAGGCCTATAATTCTTCATAAAGCGAGTTATGACAAATCTAGGTTCGCTTTTGAGGGATGTCAATTTCCTTATTCCATATATCAGATAATGATCGCTCAACGTCACCGGTAAAACTCCCGAAGCAGATATTGCTTCGGGTTTGTTTGTGATTAAATGGTCTATCATAGTCTTAGAAGTATTGGTTACACGTGTATAGTCATTAATTAATTGAGAATATTGATACGTGTCATAAATAAACTTCATTTGAGAGGCAAGAGAATCTTTCGGGTGAGCAGCTAGATTACAGTTTATGTCACCCAATAGAATTGATTCCTTGTCTTCAAAATCCACAGCCTTTAAAAACATTTCAAAATCTTTCAATAAATCAATAGACGAACCTGGTGGCCTATACCAAGTTGAAACAAGAAAAGGCTTTGATTTAGGCTTGTGTATTTCAATGACTATGATTTCCATATTCGGAACTATTACGAGGTCATTTCTAACAATATAGSTTAGGRCATTACGTATGTATAGCGCYACACCACCACCATTTGTGTTACGATCATTTCGCTCGAGAGAATAACCATCAATTCTAACGAGATCGTTACTACAAGAACAGTCAAGTTTCGTTTCATTGAYGGCCATTATATCAAAATCCAGATCAGTTAACAACATCCTAAGTTGGTCGATGTGCGCTAGTAAACCATTTATATTCAACATACCAAGTTTAAATCCTCTAGTTTTAGGTAGCATAGGCTTTAGTGAATTACGAATTAATAAATCAGACTTTTCACCTATGTTTTGAGCGCCCACTTGGCAAACAGCTAGTTTTCAGTGCAAATTACCTATAGCTTCTTTCAGATCATTAGCTAAAATGGCCACCCCCTTCTTATTTAGGTGTAACTTACTCTTATTCAGGCAGGTCAGATCAATGTTCTTGTGTTTGATAAGAGTCCTACCAGATTGATTGCAGTACTTCTTTAATCTTTTGTTCACATCATAAGCTTCAGATCTAAGGTAAAGAGAGAAAGAAAGAAAGACAAAAAGAAAATAATAATAAATAATAAAATACATACAGAAAAAATTATAGACCATTGACAGACAGGTCAATATTTTTTAGTTTGGATTTAAAGTCGTTAATAGATTTGGCTTCTCTGAGATTTTTAGGTAAAGAGTTCCATAGTTTAGCACCTCTATAGTTAAAACTGCGTTTTAGAAATTCAGTTTTGGGGTGAGGTAGGCATAGTTTTGAAGTACATTCTCTTAAATTATAAGAAGTTTTTTCATGTACATGCGAAAACCCCTCAGATATGTTAGAGGGATATAGCTTGTTCACAGATTTGAACATAGAGACAGCAAGAGCCTTTTTGCGTTTATGCTCAAGATTTTCYCAGCCAAGACTTTGTAAAATATCAACAGATCTAATATCATAGTCTGACTGGGTTATGACTCTTGCTGCTCTGTTTTGCAGTTTTTGTAGTTTTTCGGCAAGTTCTTTGTTTAAATTACCCCATACTTCGCAGCAATAATTAAATAGAGGTTCTACTAAGGAATTATAGGTAACGATTTGAGTATTATATGGTACAAAAGGTCTTGCGCGTTTTAGCCCATAGATAGCTGAATATATTTTTTTGCAAATATGTTCAATATGAACATCCCAAGTTAATGTCTCATCGATATGGACTCCCAGAAGTTTACTAGATGATACTCTGGGGATAGCTGAGCCATTAATGTGGATGTACGGCTTGCGCACTAAGCTATTTAGCTCAAAGTGAGACCCTAGATAATGTACTCGGTTTTTGTCACATTTAGACTAAGTTTATTTGCTAAAAGCCAAGTACTTATTTTACTCAAATCATCATTAATAGCTGGTTCAAGTTCATGTAGGGTTTTGGCAGCAAAAGAGATGCTCGTGTCATCAGCGTACATACGAACCGATGAAAAATTAAGACAACAGGGAAGGTCATTGATGTAAACTAGAAATAATAATGGACCAAGAATCGTTCCTTGCGGAACGCCGCTGGTCAAAAAAGAAGAATCAGAAAGACTACCATTGACAAAGCATCTCTGTTGCCGATTGTTTAGATAAGAACTGAACCATTCAAGCGAAAAGCCTTTGACACCATTAAGATATAGCCTTTTAAGTAATATAGCATGATTAACAGTGTCAAAGGCTTTACTAGAGCTAGGTCAAGAAATACTATAGTATTTAAAAGTCCTTGGTCGAGATTTAAGAACCATTCATTAGTAGAGTCAAGTAAGGCTGTGACAGTGGAGTGGAGGAAGCAAAACCCTGATTGATACTTGCTGAGAATTTTATTAGACACGAGGTAATCATAAAACTGGTTGTAAACGATTCTCTCAAAAATTTTAGCAATAGTGCCAATCACGGAAATTGGTCGGTAATTATCAGGGTCAGAGCGTTCATTGGCTTTAAAATTTGGAGTGACTTTTGCAAGTTTCCAATCTTCAGGGAAAATTCCCGTTTGAATGGACTGGTTGAAAATATCGCAAAGAGATTTAGAAATTACCGGGGCAGCTTCTTTAAGCAAGATACTTGATATATTATCAAGTCCACATTAGATTTGTTAGTGGGTAGTTTTTGTAGTAAATTTAATACAGTAGATGATCTATTTCATTAAGCTTAAATTCTGTGTTAACAGGTCTGATAAAACTTTCGAAACTGACTTCAGAGGTTTTACATATAGAAGCAAGTTTGGACCCTATACTTGCAAAATGCTCGTTAAACGCATTGCTAATCTCATGTGAAGCGAAAAATTTCGTGTCGCCAATTTTGAGTTCAGAAATGGTATTTGAAACATTTTTTCGATTCAAAATTTGGTTAATAGTTTTCCAGACAGCCTTGGGATTACCGGAATTTAAATTTAGTTTATTANAAGACTTTGTAAAATATCAACAGATCTAATATCATAGTCTGACTGGGTTATGACTCTTGCTGCTCTGTTTTGCAGTTTTTGTAGTTTTTCGGCAAGTTCTTTGTTTAAATTACCCCATACTTCGCAGCAATAATTAAATAGAGGTTCTACTAAGGAATTATAGGTAACGATTTGAGTATTATATGGTACAAAAGGTCTTGCGCGTTTTAGCCCATAGATAGCTGAATATATTTTTTTGCAAATATGTTCAATATGAACATCCCAAGTTAATGTCTCATCGATATGGACTCCCAGAAGTTTACTAGATGATACTCTGGGGATAGCTGAGCCATTAATGTGGATGTACGGCTTGCGCACTAAGCTATTTAGCTCAAAGTGAGACCCTAGATAATGTACTCGGTTTTTGTCACATTTAGACTAAGTTTATTTGCTAAAAGCCAAGTACTTATTTTACTCAAATCATCATTAATAGCTGGTTCAAGTTCATGTAGGGTTTTGGCAGCAAAAGAGATGCTCGTGTCATCAGCGTACATACGAACCGATGAAAAATTAAGACAACAGGGAAGGTCATTGATGTAAACTAGAAATAATAATGGACCAAGAATCGTTCCTTGCGGAACGCCGCTGGTCAAAAAAGAAGAATCAGAAAGACTACCATTGACAAAGCATCTCTGTTGCCGATTGTTTAGATAAGAACTGAACCATTCAAGCGAAAAGCCTTTGACACCATTAAGATATAGCCTTTTAAGTAATATAGCATGATTAACAGTGTCAAAGGCTTTACTAGAGCTAGGTCAAGAAATACTATAGTATTTAAAAGTCCTTGGTCGAGATTTAAGAACCATTCATTAGTAGAGTCAAGTAAGGCTGTGACAGTGGAGTGGAGGAAGCAAAACCCTGATTGATACTTGCTGAGAATTTTATTAGACACGAGGTAATCATAAAACTGGTTGTAAACGATTCTCTCAAAAATTTTAGCAATAGTGCCAATCACGGAAATTGGTCGGTAATTATCAGGGTCAGAGCGTTCATTGGCTTTAAAATTTGGAGTGACTTTTGCAAGTTTCCAATCTTCAGGGAAAATTCCCGTTTGAATGGACTGGTTGAAAATATCGCAAAGAGATTTAGAAATTACCGGGGCAGCTTCTTTAAGCAAGATACTTGATATATTATCAAGTCCACATTAGATTTGTTAGTGGGTAGTTTTTGTAGTAAATTTAATACAGTAGATGATCTATTTCATTAAGCTTAAATTCTGTGTTAACAGGTCTGATAAAACTTTCGAAACTGACTTCAGAGGTTTTACATATAGAAGCAAGTTTGGACCCTATACTTGCAAAATGCTCGTTAAACGCATTGCTAATCTCATGTGAAGCGAAAAATTTCGTGTCGCCAATTTTGAGTTCAGAAATGGTATTTGAAACATTTTTTCGATTCAAAATTTGGTTAATAGTTTTCCAGACAGCCTTGGGATTACCGGAATTTAAATTTAGTTTATTACAATAATAATCAGATTTTGCTTTTTTAATCAAGTTGTTTGTAACATTTCTTAATCGCCGATATGCAGCCCAGTCATCCGGTAAGTTAGTAGCCTGCAGAGCAGGCGTTCTTTTGATGGATTTGAGAGGAAGAATCGGGGTTTGGGGTTCCTGTTTCGTCCACGAGCCCGTGAGAAAAATGGGACCTAGCAAAAAATGGGAAAGTGGGGGAAGGGGGAGGGGAAAGAAGGTAACAGGCGTTCTTTTGATGGATTTGAGAGGAAGAATCGGGGTTTGGGGTTCCTGTTTCGACCAGGAGCCCGTGAGAAAAATGGGACCTAGCAAAAAATGGGAAGGTGGGGGAAGGGGGAGGGGAAAGAAGGTAACGCCTGCCAGCATCCCTTGTTATTTTGAAGAACTCGTTCGTGGGCGAACGAAGGCTTCTGATTGGCTCGGCTTCAATATTTTTGATGGACAGCAATCAATCATAACCGATCGTGCGTTTGGACTAGCCATCCGGCCTGTCCAGTGATAATAAGGCGGATGACACTGAAGAGTTTAGGTTTAGATTCATTTAAATCTAAAGGCGGTTTTCGTTTCGAGGTATTCGAATCATCTTGCATTCCAGGGTGTCGAAGAATACCTTTGCAAGCCGCATTCCAATTCGTGTAGGCAATGTGCTTTACGAGAGTTTCCTCAACGGTATATTGGTAGCTGAGCGACTTCTTTGCGTGCGACGAATTGAACACGTTACCTTTGTTGTCTTCGATCAATCCCCTCCTCAAGGGACTCGATTTATTTTATTTATATATCCAGGAATCTTTTGCTTTCTTCCTTAGTCTTGGCTTCCCGCGCCCTCCCCCTTCGCTTCTTTTTTGCTCGGTTTCAATTCTCGCTCGTACGTTCCAAAGTTCCCCCAAAACCAAAAGAACGCCTGCTTTGCAGGCTAGTAAGTTAGACAATACAGCTAATGTGTGAAGCTTGTGTTTCGCAAAAATAGATTTCATTAATTCCGATGTAAGCCAAGGTGAGCTTTTACACCTTACTCTCTTAGATTTAGAGGGTGCATGTTTTTCAGCAATATTTTGA